AAAAGGTTAATATTTTAATATAGATTTTTAAAATTAACCTGCCACTGTTAATGTTCTGCACAGTTTGTATTTAAACATCTTGCTAAGGTGGCTCTATCATCAGCTAATTTTTCAGGGCACATTATATACCAGCCTCGAGACTCATGAGTATCACACCAGACAGATACTTAGTTTAAGGTAATTTTCAGGTTTTGTAAACTAATTTTTTGCTGCATCTGATTGGTTATCCTTATTTTTCTTCCTGCTACAGCAAATAAAGGGCTCTGCCATTTTCTTATCAGAAAGGAAAGAAAATGCACGTCTATTTCTATTTAAATTGTATCTTCAATTATGATTTCTTTGTAGGAATTATTTAAAGCAGTTTTTTTGTTTTATAAGAATTCGTTAAAATTGAGTCAAACAAGACTGAGGTGTACTCAGTGGTACACATGTAGTGTCTGTGAGACTCTGGGTTCAATCTCTAGCACCGCATGGGAGAGAAAAATAAAAAGCTGAATAAAGTGATGTGTAGACTCACTGAACTGAGCATGTGTAGACTGTCACGTGACCGATGCAGGAAGCAGATGAGTGACAGGGCAAGAGGGTCCCTGCCGCCCCTTCTGTGATGTGAGATCTCTGCTCTCTCTGCAGATGCTTGGCCTGTGATTCAGGAGTGGGTCCCAGCATCAGTGTATTAACTAGATATTAATGAAGCATAACTCTTTTCAACTTTTTTAATAAAAATGTTTTTATACACCTTCTATTTTCTTCCCATCCCATGAGTCATTTAATGTGCCTGTGCGATTGTGCACAGCGCACCCACTTCCGCCTGGATCTCCTTCTCTCTATTCCTCACACTGCCAGAACCAGGCGTGCTACCAGTGCTTTGCTGGCACAACGTTTAATGTCACCACTAAACCACTGTATCACAAAGAAGAAAGAGGAGGCAGAGTAGTTGGGATACAGTTGCCCTTTACCTGCCTGCCGGCTTGCTGTTCCCCTGCAGTTCCCTTCTCCCTCTGTCCTTCCTGTCTTCTGTCCTTCCTTCCTTGAGAGCCACACAAGACCAACGCAGTTTTGAACAAGAGCAATCCAAGAGATCTTACACTACCTGATTTCAGAACATACTACACAGCTACAATAATCAAAATTCTATAACGCTTGCCTAAAAATGGACAGAAACCAATGAAACAGAATAGAGAACCAAGATATAAATCTGCACATACGTGTTCAATTGTATTTCAGCAAGAATGACAAGAACACACAATAGGAAAGGATAATCCAATAAATAGTCTTGGGAAAACTGTATTTCCACATGCACAACAATGAAATTGGACGTTTGTCCTTACACCATGCACAAAAGTGAACTCAAAGTGGATTAAAGACCTAAAAGTAAAACCTGAAACAATAAAACTCTTAGGAGTTACTTCAGGAAAAATTTGAAGACCTTCATTTTAGCAGTGATTTCTTGGATTGGCACTAAAAATATAGACAACACAAGCAAAATAGATAAGTGGGAATACATCAAACTCAAAAGCTTCACAGCATAGGAGACTGTCAAAGTTTAAAAGCAGCCTGTGAAATGGAGGAAATAGTTCCCAACCACTTACCTGGTAAGAGGTTACTGTCCAAAATAGATAAGAAAAGGCCAGGGATTTTTAGCTCAATGGTTCTGCCACCTGCTTTGCAAGCTCAAGGTCCAGAGTTCGATCCCCAGTACCCCCCCAAAAAAAATCCAAAATAAATAAGAAATTCTTATCACCCAAGAAAAAATACCCAGTTAAGAAATGGGAAAATTGGGCCCTGGATTTAGCTTAGTGGTTTTGCCACCTGCTTCACAAATACAAAGTTACTGATCTTAAAGGAAATGCAAATCAGAATCAAAATAAGATATCACCTCACATCTGTTGTGATGTCTCTTCAAAAATAAAAACCGAAAAGGAAAGAAGTGCTGGTGATGACATATGAGCATAGCAATATGGAAAACAGTAAATTAAAATAGAATTAACACTGGATCTAGCACCTCTTCAGGGTAGATCCAAAGAAAATCACTATCGTGTTCATAATATTAATATTCACCATAGCTAGAATATGGGACAGCCTAAATGTCTATCAACAGGTGAATGGATAAGGAAAACTTACACAATTCACACACACACACACACACACACACACACACACACCAGCCTTTTAGAGTATTCAGCCTTTGAAAAAGCAGGAGATCCTGTGATTTGCAACAACATAGGTGGATACAGAAGACATTACAGTAAGGGCAACAGACCAGATCAAAAGTGCAAATGCTGCACAATCCCACTTTTATGAGGAATCTGTAATTGTGGGACTCCGAATCTGACAATACAGTAGCGGTTAACCAGGGGTGGGAGGGCAAGCAGATGGAGTGGAGGGGTATCAGTTAAAGGCTACGGTTTCATTTATGCAAGATGAAAACGTTCTGGAGATCTGCTGTACAGCACAGCATGCAGTTAGCAGTACCGTGTTGTTTACTTAAAATCTGCTGAGGCGGTAGATCTTATGTGAAGTTCTTTTACCACACAAAAAAAGCACCATTATTTTTAAATAAATAAAACAGAAGGGAAAGTTTTGGAGATCTGAAGGTTTATTTCAGTAGATTTTCCAGTTTTGAAAAAAAAAAAGATATGTAAGCCCCAAATAATGAAGATGCTACATTTGAGCAGGAATATTTTTCAACAGCTGTGGGTCTACGTGGTGCCGTTAGCATGCTCCTCAGTGTCATTTGGTCTTAGATTATGTTTAGTTCAGCAGTTGGTGGAGGAGCAGATTTTAGATTATCTTTCCTCTCCCACAACTAACAGGGCTGTAAGAGCATTAAAGAACCCTAAATAGGCCTTGCTTTTGAATCTGCATATCGGGAGGGGGCTGGGAGCAAGGGCAGGAGGACGTCAGGTGCCAGTGATTAATGATCTCTAAGAAGTGAAGAGGAGAGAGTAATACACACAGTATCTCTACCCCCTGGAGTAGGAATGCAAACACTATTGTGCAAATCTGTGCATAGTCACTGACTTCCTGGTAGCTGGAGAGTTTCATACACTCTTCTACCACAAATAAAACTGTCAGGCAAAGTGACAGAACTCAGAAAGCTGACCTTCCTTAAAAAGAATAGCTCAGACACAGTGAGCCAGAAAATTAATTTTGTATTTATTTAGGGAGCCAGTTGTTTAATAAGTGAGAAAATGGGAACTTTTCTTGAAAAGCCTGAAACTTTCAAATATTTGTTGATTCCAGCCCTACATTTGGTTTTTTTAATTTACTGAATTCCTAGAAAGCATTTTAAATAAATGTAAAGGGGAAACATTCCTTTGTAATGAAATGACCCATCTTCAGCTTTTCAGTTTGGTCTCTGGTAGATTTAAAGAATCATACTGTGATAAACTCCAGAGCCTGTGTTGGGGAAAAAAATCCTAATATTTCAGAGTGATTTGTGTAGTTTCAGCAAGTAATTTCGAGGTAGAATTGTTTCTTTCTCACCCCCTTTTTTCTCTACCATTGAATCCGTGGTATTTAGTAATAATTTCCAAATGCTTAAGTCTAAAGCAAGCCATTTTAAACTAGAAATAAGGAACTACAAAGCTTTATAAAAATTTTTAAAAGCAAGCTAGTGAGGAAAGCATTGTATTTCTAGGTGCCTTTGGTTACTACTTATAACCAAAATTAGAGATTGTAGCAGTAGTGGAGTCAGCAGCAGCAGCAGCAGAACTTAGATTTTACCAAAAACCATGTATTCATAAGCCTTGTTAAATTTTTTTGTTTACTGTTTTTTATGCCCTCTATTTAACCACACATTGCTCTGCATTGTCTAATTCTTACGTAGATAGACTAGTTTTTATTTTTCTATAAAATAATAAAGGAAATATTGATTCTTGGAGAAATAAAGCTACATTTCAGGATAAAGGAGAAAAACTTTATTTTTCTGTTTTTCTATTTTATTTTTTAGGTGTCATTATAATCTAAGTTAAATTTTAGACTACTGTAGTCTAAATTAAGATAGATGAATTAAGCCCTGAATTTGGTTTCCAAGTGATTTTACTTTTGAGCTGCAGTGGTGGAGTTTATTTTTAGTCGGGCTGTGGTTATTTTTAGATCTGCTTCTCTCTCACTAGGAAATGTAATGCCTATCTTTCCATTGTTGTTTATCAGGAAGTTCTGAGGTGCAGGCATTTCAGTCCAGTTAGCACAGACACTGCTCCTCCTTTTAGATGGAGATAAGAAATAATGCATGGACAAAAACAGGCCCATCGAGAACATGTCTAATTTTGAAATTGTTAATGTCATTTTAATCTCTTGTACATTGAGAGATAGAACAAGATTTTAGGGGAGTGCCACAAATACTAGGTTTGGGTTCCCCCTGCTGGTGTGTATCCTGGGCTCCTGTGCTCTGCGCAAGCAAACACCTAAGGGATAGAAAGACCGGTGGTGAGCAACAGAGGAAAGGCACCATTTCCCCTTTCCTGTCAGTGTCTTCGCAAAAATGGGATGATGTAAAAATTGTATTTTATACATCGAGAAAGAACAAAACTTAATCGTACAATGTTTGGTTTATATTGTTGCCTCTGCTAAGCCGCTTATATGCATTGCTTCTCAGTGCTTTACATTGTAATCCAAGGAATAATAAAACACCAGCGGACACACAAAAAGGTTTCAACTCCCAAAGGAAACGCAAAGCCAACATTGTTGTCGTGATGAAATTAAAGACTGTGGCATTAAAGCTCACTGATACCTACTTTAGCATTTCAGGAAGTAAAATGACAGTGTATGATTGTGTCTGTCCATTTAACATCTGTTCTTTCTAATTTGTCATGTGTGCTGAGGCAGTTCTTTATTTTCTATCTGTTAATAAATGACAAGTAAATATTAATGATTCACTTTGAAAAAGAAAAATTTTAATTGGCTCCTAAGTGTCACCCCTGAACTTCTTACTGTGTTCCCATTTTAAAAGACTATTCAATTAACTTAAAATATTGTATCTTAAAATTGCTTTTCAGCAATGCAGTCAACCTTTTAAGCAATGTTCCGGTCTCTTGTTTGGATGTTCTCATTTGTCCATTAACCCATGAAGAAACAGCCCAAGAGTCGACGACTCTAGATGAACTGCCCAGCGATAAAACAGCTGAGAAAGAGACAGTTTTGAAAACCAGTGCTGTGGTGTACAATGGTATGAACATGGCCGCCATTCATGTCTTGCTCCATTTTATGGAGAAGAGGATAGACAAGGTAAGGCTGCTGAGGGGACCTCAGGAGGTGCTTCTGAAGAATGTAAACACGCCACACACACAAAGACAGACCACAGAGTCTCATTTCTAAATTTAAGCTTTTTAAAATAAGTAGCATATTTTTACTTTGGAAAGCGTTTTATTATAATGTATAATAAAGTGCTGAAACCAAGTGAATTTGTCTAATGATGAAAATGGTGTTTATGTAAATCCAAATTTGTTACTAGTGCCTGAAAATAAAAATTAATTATTACTCCATTGGTAATCTGTACATCCTGGATGTAATCCTCCAAAAAATTTTTACTTTCTATAATATCTTTAAAAGACATCCTTAAAAATTTTTTTTATTTTTCTGCTTGTGAGCTGTTTATTTTCTCTGATCTGTAAGTCACTTTGTTGGGTACCTATGTTAAAAGGTAGCAGGGGGAGATGGGGATTTAACTTAGTAGTGTCACCGCCTGCCTGGCAAGCACAAGGTCCCAAGTTCAGTCTCCAGTACCAAAAAATAAGGCAGTGGGGTAGCATATGTGGGTCATCAAAGCCTTTGCCTCATATAAGCCCATTCACTGGCTGAGCCAGGGGGACCCTCTGATGTAGGAAAATCCAAGAAGGACAAACATAGACAGTAAACATGAAGATAACTGATAAATGGACGAATGTTTAGGAAAACAGTTTCTAAAAGTTTACAGCCCTTGGTATTAAGATGTATCTCCCCTGAGAGTATTCTTGTGCTCAAATGAGTGGAGACAAGAAATACTTTAGGAAGCTAATATGTCTGTATGGTTTTCTTTACAGGGAAGCAGCTATAGAGAGGGTCTAACTCCAGTTCTCAGCTTGTTAACGGAATGTTCCCGAGCCCACCGAAACATCAGAAAATTCCTGAAAGATCAGGTAATTGCTTAATGAGTATTAATCTCAGTTACTATTTTTATATTTTTTAACATGGAATCAATGAGCTGATTTTTTACATAGTGGTTTTCTTTCAGAAAATTAGGGACGCAAAAAGATAGTTTTAATCCTTGAAATCTTCCGATCAAGAAAGAAGTGATCTATATATTTTTTTCAGTTGTTCATTGATTTATTCAACACCGTTGAGATTTATTATGAGCTGTTTTCTAAGCATTGTTCTTAGCATTGCCCAGCAGACTGAGCTGTGCCCTCTTAGTTGGGTGGATTCCAATGGCAGGAAATGAAAGGTGTTCTGATCAAAGATAAAGCAGGAGAGCAGAAAGGGGAGATGGGAATACGGTTGAGTCTCTGAGGAGATGACATTTGGGCGAAGTTGGATAAATAAGAGTCTCTGAGAGTATCTATGGGGATGTTCCAGAAGGAACAAGTTTAAAGCCTCTGAGATGAAAGGATGCTTTGGTCAGCTTAAGGAGGAGCAAGGTGGTCATGTGACTAGGAAGAAATACACCGGGGAGAGCACAGTGGATGGAGTAAAAGAGCTAACCCATGGCCAGATAACATGAGCCTGGGAGGCAGTTTTCATCTGAGCGAGATGAGGAAACACAGGAGTGTCTGGAGAGGGGAGTCGTGTGACCTCGCTGACGTTTGACGCAACTCTGGCTCCTGTGTGCAGGCCGGACTGAGTGGGGCAGGTGGACGGGTGTGGACACACACCCTGAAGAAAACTGAAGTGGGCCCAAGAGTTGAGAGTCCGCACTTGAGGATGTTTCGAGAATAAGGCTCACATGATGTGCTCAGAGATGGGGATATGGATGGAAAAGGGAGGGAAAAGGAAAGATGGCTTTTAAACATTTAAATCATACCTTAAAATCCAAGTCTAAAACTTGACAGTAACTGAAACTGACCCACTCTAAAATCCCAGCCTCAAGCACCTTCTCTTTGTTAGTGCCCTTGATCCACCTTCGTTCCATCGCCTTGAAGACTGACTGTCAGGCTGTCTCCCTTGGTTCTTTCGCTGACCTGCGTCTGTCCTTGTCTCCTGACTGGGCTAGATCTTACATGTAGCTCATTACTGTCGTCCCTCCTTCCCATACATCTTCACCCAGTCACTTGCTCTCCCTCCCCGTACTCCTTGGAAAAACACAACAAGCTCATTAAGTCCAGCCTTCTACCTACAATTGGAATTCTGCTGAGCACCTGACTAGGATAAGCGAAAAGAGGGCAACTACAATGACTAGCCAAGCCGCTCCTGGGATAGTCCAAGATAATTACAAGCCCTGTTTCTTCAGACTTTCACTGACTCTGTTTGCATTCACATTTGTTGACCTTGTAAAAAGTTAAGAGGAAATGTCATCTCTTACCACTGCATCTATTGTCTGCCTGCACCTGTGTGCCACATACTCTGCCTCCCCTCTGTCTGTAGCAGACGGATTATCCCTGCTTCTGTCTGTGGCAGCTTCTGTTCCAGATCCATTTCCCTTACTTTCTCATGAGCATTGTCCCTACATTTATTCATTCATTTATTCATATTCTCCTCTTTCCCTTCATCTTTTTCTCTCTCACTTCTCGTACTGGGGATTGAACCCAAAACCTTTACTTTGAGCTATATCCCTAGCCCTTTCTAAATTTTTATTTGGAGACAGAGGCTTACTGAGTCTCTAAGTTGCTCAGGCTGGGCTCAAACTTGTAGTCCTCCTGCCTCAGCCTCCCAAAGTGATGGGATGAGAGGTGTGCACTACTGATTCCCTCTCTGTGGCTTCTTATATTCATCTTTTTTCGCCTAAGTATACTGGATCCTTTCTGTCAGCACCCAAACACCTTCTGTCTTCATACTTTCTTTTATCCTGCTCCTCAGCTTGCCATCCTGTTTCTCTGTTCCTCATCACCTCTGTTCTTTTTGTTCACCTGTGATTCTTTCCTGAACCTTCTGTAACTAGGCTTCCATGCTCTCTGCTCCCTTGCAGAGGTGTTTATCAAAGTCACCAACCGAGTATCACCAAAGTTCTCAAATCTTTTCTTTTTGTTCTCTGTTAGTGTTTGACATGTGTTCCCTCCTCCTTGAAATCCTTCCTTCACTTGGTTTCTAGAACACAGCAGAGAATCTCTTCCCAAAGAGATTGTGTTTGGCTGCTCCTAGGCATCACTATTGTCTTGGTTACTCTTGTTGCTGAGACAAAATAGCCAACACCCAAAGTTAAAGAAAGTAAGTTTAATTCTGATTCAGTAGTGGGATTTTTGGGGGGATTGTTTGTTTGGTACCGGGAATCAAACTCAGGGTCTTGTGCTTGCGAGGCAGGTGGTGGATCCACTGAGCTAAATCCCTGGCCAGGAAAGTTTTATTTTGGCTCAGTTTGTAAAGGTTTCAGTTCATAGTTGTCTGATGCCAAGGTAGGGTAGCATGGCAGAGGGGCACTGCAGCAGAGAAACAGTCCATGGCAGGTGGAAAGCAGAAAGGTAGCAAAGTAGCAAGGAAGCGCTGCAGCAGCCTGCTTCTCTTTTTATCCCTTCTAGGCTACCAACCCTTTGGGTGGTGCCACCCACACCCAGGGTGGACCTTCCATGATCCACACCCAGAACTGTGCCAGACCAGTCAGTAGACTAATTTAGTAATCACACACCCGTAATCCCAGCATCGCACACCCTAGATCCAGCCACTTCTGAAAAACCTCACCTATGGCCCCATGAAGCTTCAGGGGAACATCCAGACAAAGCTGTAACACTGTTCTGTCCCCATCTGCACTCCTCTGGGATCTCATTTGGGAGCAAAGCTTTTGAAAACCACCTATATGCTGATGGCTTCCAAGTTTCTATCTCCAGCCCTGAACTGTCCCCAAAGCCCCAGATTTATTTAATGAACCTCCTGCTGTTCCCATTGGGTGGGAAGCATTATCTTAAACTTAACGTACCCCAAGTTAACATCATGATTTCCCATCCCCCAAGCTATCGTTTTCCCTTCTTTCCACCCTTCAATATATGGCACTGTCACTCACCTTATTGTTCATTTATTACCATGGATAATTTCACCTAATAAATGAACCAAATTTATTTTCTCTGTGTGTATTTATAGTCAAGATTTAGTAAGTACCTTACTACATGTAGGACACACTAATATACAGGCAGGCTTTCTTTATGAGCCCTAGTATTTGGCTGATATAGAAAGATGGAAAAGTAGGGACTCTGTAAGGACTTCACATTTTATTGAAAAAGCATAAATAATCAAGCAAGATAAACTAGTCAATTAAAGTTATTTCTAAATGAGATTAAGACATTCTTGAGTGGAAAGACTTGGTGAAGAATAATAAATTAAAATACTTTGTTTTCTGTATCTGCTTTTTCGCAAAAATAACCTTGGGATCAAAGTTTAAACTTTTTATTTTGCTGTCTCTAACTAGAACACAAAATATGTTTGTTAAATAGCTTCTTTATATCAAGGCCTTGGCCCGCATATTATGTGAAACAAAAGATTATGAGACCACTTTATGTGTTCATGAAACACTACACTATAGGTAAGAAAATGAGATATGATAGGTAAAAAGATAACTAAAAATGTATTAGTGCATTTTAATGACTATAACAAAGTAAGGTATAAAGCCCATGGTTCTGGAGGCCCAAGGCTGAGGAGTCACATCTGGTGATGGCCTTCTTGCTGGCAGAGTCCCAAGGAGGGCATCACATGGCAAGAGAGAGAGAGAGCTGTGTGTGTGTGTGTGTGTGTGTGTTTGTGTGTGTTGTGTTCCTTTGGTCTTTCTCCTTCTTCTTATAAAGCTACCAATATTCTGTCCTGGGATTCCACCCTTATGACCTTCTCTAATCTTAATTATCCTCCCAAAGGTGCCAATTCTAAACTGTGTGGTTGGATTAAGTTTCCACCCTCTTAATGCCTCAAGTGGGGATTAAATTTCTACACATTAAAGCAAGGTTCTCGTCCTTGTGATGTAAAACAGTCATTTCATTCCCAGTAGTCTCAAAGTGTTAAATCATCCCAGTACTAGCTCAGAATTGTAAGTCTCATCCAAGACTCAAGCAAACTCCTTGTAGCTGTAAGCCTATAAAAATAAAAATAAATTATTTATTTCCAGTATGCAGTGGTACAGCAACCAAAAGAGAACAGTGGTCAACCAGAAAGGGGAAAACTAGGACAAAAACTCGCAGGGCAGATGTTAAATCTTAAAGCTTCAAGGCTGGTGTCTCTGCACATGCAGTGAGCATCGGGTCCCTGGGGCCTCTGCTTTCCCAGCTTTGCTGGTTGCAGCTCATATGCCTGTGTGTAATGTTGTTGGCTTTCCTGGGCAGATGGGACATGTTGCTGGTCATTCTTACCTTTTCGGGGACCCCCCTGTGACCTTTGCTCCCACAGCTCCATTGAGCATCACCTCATTAGGCACGCCCCACAGGAGCTCCGATTCTGCAGCAAATTTCTGCTTGGTCTCCCAGGCTCCCCTTTGAAATCTTGGTGGAAGCTGCCATGAACCAGTAATTCCATTCTGCACACCTGCAGAACCAGCACCACAAAGGTGCCAAAAAAGGCTTGACCACCAGCGTGAGCTGTGCCTGGGTGCACTTGAACCAGTGCTACAGCCCCAGAGTGCTTTGCCAATTGAGTGCAAGGAACAGACCCTGAGGTGATATTTGGTGGCCTGTCAGTGGGAGTGCCCTGGACACAGTCCCTGAAATGATTCCATTCCAGAAGATCTCGGGCCTATGATGGGGTGGCAGCCTAGGAGAGATGTGAGTCACCTTGAGGCCTTTTTCCTTTGTCCTGACAATGAGCATTCTTGCCAGTCTCTTTAGGAAGCAGTCTTCCTCCTGTGCCCTTTTTGGCACACCGTTACATACTTACTTGCTCCTTCCCTGGCCAGGCTGTGAATTTTCCAAATTTTCTCACTCCATTTGCTTTAGCGTCCACCTATCACTGTAAATCTGGCCAAAAGTGGTAAGAAATACTCATGGCAAGGCCTGAATGTTTTGTTGTTTGGGAATTT